TTTTTAAATAAATTTTTTTTAAACTTTAAACAACAATAACTTAACAAAAATTTAATCAAATTTAATAAAAATTTTTTAAATAAAATTTTACAAACTTATAGAATTTATTTAAAAAAAAATTTATTAAATTTGATCAAATTTTGGTTAAGTTATTGATATATAAAGTTTTAAAAAAATTTAATAAAAACAATTTGCTTGATTTCTATTGACTCACCCCCATATTTTAACATGTTTTTGCAATTTATATTTAAAAAATCAATTAAATTTTTTTTTTAAATTTTTATATAGTAATACTAAAAGGTAAATATCAAATAATAAAAATTATCAGAATGATATAAAAATTTCAGAATATATGTAATTTGATCTTCTGAACAATTTTCACTTAATAGACATAATCGATTTACTTAGTAAAATTTTGACTTTACTATGTAGAACTTATTATAAATTAATTAAAAAAAGTTATTTTTTATTTGAATTATATAAAAAAAATAATTTATTTTAAGACTTATAGTGTATAATACTTATGCTTCAGACTTGCACTGGTTTCCAGTTCCTAATATATTTTTTAAATTAATTTATTAAATTTTAAAACTTGGAACTTAGTTGGAACATTCTGGGACATTGGGACGTTAGAACGTTGAGACATAGCAAAAAAGCTTGGGACAGTAAAAATGTATAACACTGCATGGGGCATGGGGGGGTGTGGCCTTCTAATAAAAAAAGAAATTACGTAATAAACGGCACACCACTAACCTACTAGACATATGGGCTGATTTTTTCGATTTATGTAGATCGGGTCTTCCAGTGCTTCCGGTTAACCAAAAATTGGGCCAAATGATCTGGTACGATCTACATAAAAATCAGCCCATATGAATTTTCTAGTTATCCGATATTGCACGTGATCAAGCAATTTTATATTTAATGTTAAAGAACATCCCGTCCCTATCGTTACAGCCTGACATATCTATTACTATGATGACTTCTACAACTCATGCACCCGGTGATAAAATTCTATTGATTAATTCACCATATTCAAATTCTTTGAAACTTGACGAAATCTGTGAACAACTTACGCAACAAGTTACCAAAGACGGTTTTGTCAAGATAGAAGAGTTAGATAAAATTACTACAGGTGAGCTTTTCAAAAATTTTGACAAATAATAAAATTACGACAGGGTGAAACCTGAGTTGCGAAATAGTGAAATTCGCTAAGGTGAAATCCGCTTTTATATAATAAAACGCGGATTTCATCCTAACCCGATCTACAAAGCGGATTTCACTATTTCGCAACTCGGGTTTCACCCTGTTCTATAAAATTTATTCATTTTTTCTAATCATTCTTTTTATGTTAAAGAACCACATTCGTCCATTGCCTACAATGCCATATATTTGAACCATTTTGATTCGTTATGCTTAACCAGTCCCACCGCAACCTTCACAAAACTAGTTACAACTTTGGCACCTGGTGGTGTCTTATATCTCAAAGAGCTTACTACTCTTACACCACAATCTCACGTCGAAATTCCGTTACGTACTACTCAAGAATTGGTTAGTGAACTTAAAATGACAGGATTTATCAACTTGGAAATCTATGAGGCAAAAAAAGTCGAAATGCCCGAATTGGAAAGGATCATGGAGCATATATGGAGTACTCATAGTATTCATGATCAAACTAAACGACAAGAACTTGTCCAAGTATTGAATGGTCAGCTAAATGTAATCGAGCTAGTTGCGAAAAAACCAACTTATGAAGTCGGTGCTACATTTGCATTGCCTTTTGCTAATAAGGCTTCTAAAGGTATTCTTTTTTTTTTTTTTTATCGAATCTTTTGATTGGTACATGCTGACGTATTAATTAAAATAGGCAATAACAGTACAGTAAACAAAACAGCTATATGGACACTTGCTGGTAACGATGATGAATTAGAAAATGAAGATGATTTGTTAGAAGAAGAAGATTTGGTCAAGCCTGACAAAAGTACATTAATTCGTAAGTATTTAAAACATCATTCGATATATTAAATTATTTTGTCATAATGATGATTAATATTCATTTCCGAATAGGTCCCGATTGTGAAACTGATGGCAAACGAAAAGCTTGCAAAAATTGTTCATGTGGTCTTGCGGAAGAACTAGAAAAAGAAAAACAGCTTGCCGCTCAACAATCTCAACAATTCAAGTCATCTTGTGGAAGTGTATGTAATAATTTTCTCATATACTTTCTGAATCTCGTCCATATAATAATCTAGATCCAATTGCTTTTACGATTTAGTGCTATCTTGGTGATGCCTTCCGTTGTGCGACCTGTCCATATCTTGGCATGCCAGCATTTGCACCTGGGGAAAAGGTTGTATTAACGGGAAATATGATGCAGGACGACATATAAGTTGTTGATATTTGTTAAAACTTTAAAACTGATATAAAGTAATATCAAGATCGATGTTATCACGAGTAAAATTGAATATTCAGAATTAAATATTATAAAATTAATAGTTAACAATAAAGATTTGCATAATGTTCTTTGTGATTTTTTTTAACTGTAATATTTATTGATCCCGATAGTGATTTATTAAATATTATAAATAAATATACAAGTTTTACTTTAACTTAAATATTTTAACTTAAATTATATCTTGTGAATTTTAATAAAGAACAAAATGAAAATGACAACGCGCTGGGCAAAATCTTCCATAGTAAAACAAAAACCAAACGCTGATGTTGTCTCAAAGACGAAGGGTAAAATGAGAGTTGGCAAAACCACGCCACGTGTAATTTCTCGCAGTTCAAAAGGTCTATCTACCGTAATTTCATACTTTAGTGGACAACTTGGTATAAAAATAAAACAACGGATATTTAAACCATATAATTTATTTAGTATCGCGTATTAGGTTACCTAGTCCTACGAAGCACGTTGACAGACGGACCACTAATCCTGACCAGGCTGAAATTCACAAACCCAAAGGGTCTAGGTTGAAAGCAGATTATAATACGTCGTCAAATGATGATCAAAAATCATCTATGGATTTACATGACAAGGAGTATGTTTTTAATTTAATCTTGCAAAACGTGAATTTATAGTTCTTAAGTTCATATTTAGTTTTAGTGATTTGGACCATAAAGAAATTATGGTGGCTCTTGCAGGTATCTATTATAGCGCTACTTTATATCACTTTATCTGATTTAAAATAAAGTTCAAATTTATAGCATCCCTTAAAAAACGAGAAAATCAATTTTCAAAATCGATGGACAAGCGATTCGAATTAAGTAGGATTACTGTAACCAATGCCCTTGGGAGTTATATTGAGAAAGAAGATAATATCACGTGAGTAAAGTTTTAACTCATTTCACAATGTGATCTCATAATTTTAATAACCTCTTGCACTCGGGAAAAAAGAACAAAAGTCGCGTCAGAATATAAGCACAGAATGGATGAATATGCCGAAGAAAAACGAAATTGTTTAAGGAAACTCCGATTGGGGTTTGAAAAATATCAAGTTTGTTCATTCTATGTTTATAGCTTTACATTATTTTTAAATTCTCGACTCTTAATTCTTTTATTTTTGTATTAGTTAATAATGTCTGATTTGCTCGAAGCGCTTGATAAGAACCATTCCCAGAGCATGCGTGCACGAAGGGACTTCGAGAAAGATATTACGCACATCCGTATGTTAAACTTATCATTCCTGAATTTGTGCACCCGACAAATTAATTATTAATTATTTTTCCTTCAGAAACAATACATCAATCTGAGATAACTAGATTACATGAAGAAATCGAAAAAACTACATCGTGTTTCCATAAAACCATGGAAAGTGCAGCAAAAGTTCGTAACCATTATTTATTGATACAAAAAAAAAAGTGGCTGTCGATTTTTTATTCAATATGTTTCTCTATTCCTGCAGGAATTTCACCAAAAGCCATCAATTACCAAGCAATTCAAGTCACTTCTCAAGTTACAATAACCCTACGTATTTCAATAACGATAATATATATTTGCTAATTAGTTGATCATGCACATAACAGTCAATTTGTGTTATTGAAAGATATTTAATTTATTTTAACGTTAAGGCGTTACACATAACCAAAATCAGATGTACTTAATTTTTTAAAAAGATTTCTATTTGTACACTGTGGGTAATTTACCCAGTACATTAAAAAAAAAAAAATCGTTAATATCAAAATTTTTACCATAGTACATTAAGTATTTTGTATGTAATCGCATTTTATTATATGGATTACTCTCAAACAGATTGTTATTTTTTAAAAAAATTATTGTTTTAGCTTTTATTGCATATATATACAGTATTTTGATAAATGTTAGTTAAAGAAAGCTTAGATCTTAAGCTTTTTTTTAATTATTAAATGATAAAAATATTTTAAAATTTATTAAAATAAATAAATTAGTTATTATAAAATGTACCTTTGATGGTTTGGTATCTACAGTATTATATGTTTTACTATATTTTATAGATTTTTTTAAATTTTTATATAAAATACTGTATTAGTATAAACATTAGGAATAGTATTTAGAGTTAGAATTAATAGTTTTGAAACCCGTAAAAATTTATATTTTTTTTTTTTTTTTTTTTTATGGCGAGGCCTGGCTCTTGTCTTTTATTATAACCAATAAATTCTTAATGAGGGTA